CAAATGCTTCTTCTTCTTAAGTGCTTTAGTGCATAAATGGGTTGCCTGACTAAACCAGGAAAATTAACGACTTGCCAGAGTTTTAGTCGTTGATTAATATGCTTCACAAGATTGATCTAGGGATATGTGTAGGATGTAATAATTTTCTTTTTTGAAGTAATGTCTATATCTTATAAGATAAGATAAGCTTTTAATTCACAGTCTAATACGGCCAACAACTTTATAATATAAATGAACTCTAGCTTACCTTGCTCTGTTTTTTTATATAAAAGTACCAGTAATATAATCATTTCTAAAGCGGGGAAGAAGAGGAAACCGTGCCTCATATTCTGTTTGACTGCCCCAGACTTTCTGATCTCCGTCTCGACAGGTCTGGGAAACCCAAAATTCTCTACCTGTATGGCGACATTTATGCACTACGCAGGACAGCAGGGTTTCTGTCCAGGGCTTTTGCAAGAGAAGATTTGAGCCTCTCAAGCCCTCACTCAAATGGAGTTTGATGATGATGATGATCATGATGAAAGGTTATTCTGACTTAATTTTCACCAAACTGAAGAGAAACATTTTATATTCAGGAGTTTCTGTTGATTGAGTTCAGAGTTTCAAAGTTGGCAGCACTGCTTGTAATATAGTGGCATTGCACTTGACCTCATTATATCATTTTGAAGTAGAACAAATATATTTTTCCCCCCATTAAATGATTATTTAATGTAACTGTACTCAAATATCAAACATATTTCATGATTAACGTATTATTATATTTTGCAACTATTGTTTGTTGCTCTCAGTAAGGTCATGGTCCGTCCATTGCATGTACATATATACTGAAGTAATTTATTTAAACTTATAGTCCAATTTTAATTAATTATTTTTAATGAGATTCATCTCAATATGCTGTATTCATAACAGCGGTGTGCTGATTTTATTCCAACTGGTTTGGTATTTTCGATTTCGCTTTCAGAATTCTGCCATACCATATACAAACATGCCTACAGTCCTGCATTATGCGGAACCGTCCCGCAAAAGCATCAAAAATGCTCACATGTTCCGCCGTTCCGCATTCACGATTTTTTGTTCCGCCAAGTCTGAATTCCGACACACAAAAAAAAAAAATTGCCGATTTTTCATTATTTATTAATAGTGCGAAATGAAAATACTGAATAAAAATAAAATATATATAGGTCTGTGTTTATTGTTTACATTTCATCTTCTATGACCAGGTGTGTCTAAATTTACGAAGATATGGTTGAGCTAGATCTATGTCGATGCTCACATGTTCCGCCGTTCCGCATTCACGATTTTTTGTTCCGCCAAGTCTGAATTCCGACACAAAAAAAAAAAAAAATTGCCGATTTTTCATTATTTATTAATAGTGCGAAATGAAAATACTGAATAAAAATAAAATATATATAGGTCTGTGTTTATTGTTTACATTTCATCTTCTCGGACCAGGTGTGTCCTAAATTTACGAAGATTGGTTGAGCTAGATCTATGTCGATACTAGATCTATTCTTAGAATCTAGAAAGTGCTAATAAGCCAAATGTTCCATTCAAATCCCTTTCTTTTCCCAACAATAGTTCTACTAGTCTAGACTAAATCTGTTCTAACTAACACTAACTTGACTAACTCAACTAGTTTATGAGTAGTTTCTTAGGCTTAGGATTCTATGACTAATGTAATCTAAGAAAAGGATTTTTTTTAAAAACATACGTTATTAAATTTAAAGATCTAGATCTAATTAATTAACTTAGACACAGTAAGGCTATGGCCTAAATAAGGCTATATATCTACTCTACTTATTACATAGTTTTAATTAGTATCTAGATTTACGACTAGCACAACTGTTACTAGATAACTAGATGATACTAAATCTAGATCTAGAAATAGACTTAAATTAAAAATTAAACACCTAACCCAAAAAGTAAGCAGACAGCTGCATAGTGAATACATAAACAATGTAATATCTAAAGATAACAACAAAAACCTATGGTCATACATTAAGTCTACCAAAATGGAAACAACAGGCATAGCGCCATTAAAAGATGAACATAACATAATACATAATGATAATGAAACTAAAGCAAACATCCTAAACAAATACTTTGCATCAGCATTCTCAGCCCCAGGTGACAAAGACATATTTCTTAATTTGAACCAAGTAGACAACATAGAAGATTTAGTAGTACAAGAAAATGGAATTCAAAAACTATTATCCAACACCAAACCAAATAAAGCATCTGGACCTGATGGTATTCCAGCTAGATTACTCAAAGAACTAAGCAATGAGCTAGCCCCAGTGTTCAAAATACTCTTTCAGGCATCGTTTAACCAGGGCAGAGTACCAAAGGACTGGAAAGAAGCTAATGTCACCCCCCTATTAAAAAAGGAGAAAAATCTGATCCAGGAAACTACAGACCAGTATCACTTACCAGCATCACATGTAAAATACTAGAACACATAATATGTAGCAACATCATAAACCACTTAGACAAACATAATGTTCTCACCCCATACCAACATGGCTTTAGGAAATATAGATCATGTGAAACACAACTAATAGGACTAATTGATGATTTTTCAAAAGGTTTAGATAATAGTGAACAAATAGATGCTAGATTTTTCCAAGGCTTTTGACAAAGTTCACCACCATAGTTTGCTTAAAAAATTAAAATATTTCGTCATTAATGGTCCACTGCATCAGTGGATTAAAGATTTTCTGATAGGGAGAGAACAAACTGTAATATTAAATGGCTCTAAATCAACACCAATAACAGTGAACTCAGGTGTACCTCAAGGAACAGTCTTGGGTCCACTACTATTTTTAATTTACATAAATGATTTACCAAATTGCATTAGTTCAGGAACAAAAGTCAGATTATTTGCAGATGATTGCATAATATATAGAACAATAAAAACAACACAAGACACAGATATTTTACAAAGAGAATTAGATGAATTACAGAAATGGGAATCAAATTGGAGCATGTCTTTCCACCCAGAAAAATGTCAGTTGTTAAGAAAAACAAAAAAACTAAAACAAATTAATTCCACTTATCTTATTCATGGCAAACCAGTAACACAGACTAAAAACGCAAAATACCTAGGTGTTATAATAAATGAAAAACTGTCATGGAATCCACATATTGATGAAACTACAAAAAAATCCAACAAAGCATTAGGGTTTATTAAAAGAAATTTCTATAAATCAAATAAGAACATAAAACTAAAATGTTATTTAACCTTGGTTAGGCCAATAAGAGAATATGCATCCACCGTTTGGGACCCCTCAACTCAAGAAAACATTAAGAAACTGGAACAAACACAAAATAGAGCAGTGAGATTCATAACAAACGAATATTCACATTTGACTAGAGTAACACCATTAGTAAAATCACTAAATTTAGAAAGCCTTCAGGACAGATGACTCAAAAGTAAAGTAGCAATTATACATAAAACACTGAACCATAATCTTCAAATAAAAAAACAAAACTTAATAAAATAATCTGAAAGACACAAAAATAAAGGCACATTCCTTGTCCCCTATGCTAGGACAAATTTGTACAAATACTCCTTCTTCCCTAGTGCTATTAGAGCATGGAATGGGTTGCCTGAGCTAGGACGTAATCATCTTTTTTGAAGTAACGTCTGTATTATATAAGATAAGACTTAGAAGGTGATAGATCTCTAGATTCTAGATTTCTATGTATCATTATGTAATAAATTTAGTTCTTAATAAGTCTCTAGATCTATACATAAATATTTAGATCGATAATATAATTATTATAATCTGTGTTTTTAGACTTAGAGGACTTATTAGATGTAGGTCTAGACTAGTAGACTCTTAAATTATTTTAGATCTAGAACTAAAGACAACATCTAGAGTGACTAGAGTAAAGCCCTAGAAAAGGATAGATAATCAAGTAATCTAAAATCTAGAATAATCTAGATCAAGTCATTAGATTTAGATCTAGTAGTAGTAACAAATAAAAATATATCTAGACTAGTAACATTTGAGTCTAGTCATTAGAATACATTTTTTTTTAGAATTCATTATATAGGAACTATTGATTTCAAACAAAGGACATAATTATGAATTAAAGGTTTTCTTACATTTTATTATACTATTTACATCTAATTTATAAGAAGCAAACTAGTATTGTTATTAAAGTAATAATTAATATAATTGAAGTTTTATTTATATTGCGTACAGTATGGCTGACCAACATAAACACGCATTTATGTTCCACATTGGGGCCCAAAATTCCACATTTTCAACCTGAGTGTTCCACATTCTGGGTCTTGGGGGTAGGCATGTCTGCATATATATTCTTTTTTACTTTATCTACAAACAATTGGTTTAATTAATTATATATATTTTTAAGTTGTTTTTTTTTATCTTTAGCTATTTACATTTCAATAGCTATTTGAGTTTACTCTGTGTTGTTTTTTTTTCAGTTTTATTTGTATCAACTGTTTCTTGAGTAAATAAAAGAAAAATGAGTTCTGAGAACTAATTAAAACCAGTTTCAGCACACCGCTGATTTTTTATAGAAAGTTGGGGCCTATATAACTATAAACTAAGACTGTAACATGGTACTATTTCATAGTAATGTAACCTAACAAAATACATAACACATATACATATTATACTGTCTCATGTTACTATGATACTCCATCTTGGTACATAACATGTGTCCTCCTGTTTCATAATTATTCTTACTTGATTGAGAACACAGATCATTTCTTAAGTATGGCTTTTTACTGGCATTCCTTACTATATAATGTTATGTCACAGTTTAAAATTTTCTTGATAAATAGAATCTCATGTTTAAATGGATGGCTGCCTGGTCGTGAGGTTTGCATGCTGGACTGTCGTTCAGATTTATCAATGGTCCCGGGTTCAAACCCTGCCCGCTTCCATCCCCCGTCGTCCTGCGGGAGGTTTGGACTAGGAAGTAAACTATCTTCAACTCTGAAGGAACATCCGAAACATGTAAAACATGTTACAATTTAAATTTTCTTGATAATTAGAATCTCATGTTACAATTTAAATTTTCTTGATGAGGAGAATCTTATTTTATTTCCTTACATTGAGAATTGTACAAAACACTTAGGAATTAGTATGAAGAAAAAAAAGCTGATAAAGATCTCAGTTGCTCACCTTGTACATATATACCAAAAAAAGAAAAGATTTGTACCATAAAATCTTGGTATCAAATAATGTGATGATCTTCATTGCCCCTTGGGTAATTTTCTTAAAAGTGGTACCTTATAATACATTATGAGAAAACTTAATGTGTCGGCTAAATGATACTCATATAGATCTACATGTTTAAACTACGGTGCACTCAATTTACATTTAAACATAACAAAATTGTTCACATTTCTTACAAATTGTTGTAAAATGATCATAATATGTGATATTATTTCTTTCTTCACTAAGATATCTTACAAAATATAAAAATTAATAAATATTTAAAGCTATTAAATTAGACTTTACACAAAAATCAGTGTCCGTTTTTTTTTGTTTTGGTTTATCAAACATTTTTGTGAATGCTTATGATGTTCCACAACTTTTTGTTGCCTAGCCACTTCTACTTTCACAATTTTACTCTTATTTAGGGTGAATTAATTTGACTGAAGCATTATACATTACATTGAATTTCCTCCTTTAGGGTTGCTAGAGAGGATAAATTAATGTTTCATCTTGGAGAAAGAAATACGTACCAGCAAGGAGGGGGAGTGGAATTTAGTGGCTGATTTTTTGCTTTGATTTTGTTTATTTTAGGTGAGATTTGAAATACTAAACCACCCACTTGCCCTAAGGGGATTTTGAGTAGGGGGGGTAGGGGGATTTGCAGTTAAATTCCCCCTTTTCTAAAAAACAAAACAAAAAATAATGCAAATGACAATTCCCAAATTCCAAGATATAGATTAGGAAGATTTTGGTTTTAAAACCCCCCTTTTCTATAAAACAAAATGCAAATTACTCACTCGAAATTCTATGAGAGTAACGAAAGGGTTTTGAGTTTAAACCCCCTTTCATTGAGGTCCTCAGAGCAGGTGGGAAGAGGCTCCAGACATTGCCAATAACAGATTATTGTGATAACAGCTTACCGTCCAATGCGCCGAAGGGCGCGGGAGGATCTAAGTCAGAAAGAATAGCACATTACGTTTTTGAAATAAAACTTTGTAATAGCAGGATAATGCACTGTAGATACCTCAGAATATGCATTTTGTTGGCTTTCAATACTGGAAATAGTGCTTAGCGGCGGGGCTACCCCAGACACCCTTGCTGGCAAGAGAGGGGAGTCTACAATTTTTCCACTAACTCCAGGAAGAATCTATTCTAGGGTGCAATGAAGGGTCAGAATGTAATGAAGATTAATTATATATAATTAATATATTAATTATATATCTACACACACACATATATATATATATATATGGGGGGGGGGAAATCCTGGCTACGCCCATGATACATTTGTTTGCTTAACATCATGTCACTACTGACCTTGACCTTTGCATTGACCCTGCGCTTGGTAGAAAGTGTTATATATATATATATATATATATATATATATATATATATATATATATATATATATATATATATATATATATATATACACACAGAGAGAGAGAAATTACTAGCTATCTCGATGTATCTTTCGTTGAAAGAAACCGGATCTTAAGCGACCGGAATGTCATCACAAATGGTCACTGTGACCCGGTGTAATTGCCAAGTTTATTGAGGGTTAACTACAAAAAATGTGCAAGCTGAACTAGCTGATTTATTGTTCCTCTAACAGGTCTACTGCTTCAAATTCACGCGCCTAAATTTTGGAAAAGATGAACCGTTACATGGTCTGGCAATACTAGATCTTTATATTTTTAAAAAGCTCTCTTCTCTCGTTACGTAATAATGTGGTCTCGGTTGCCTACTATCACAGGACACCAACAATCCCTAGTCCTGACTTACTAGTCTGTTTCAGTTGGGACCTATAAGGTAAAGAAAGTGTTTGTGTGTCTGTGAGAGAGAGAGAGAGAGAGTTAAAGATTATTATTTTCTAACCCAAACTATGACTATACAGTACAGTATAGGTATGCCCAAAGTCGCTAGAACTGGGCAGGGTTGGAACTGAATACCATCGTGACAATACTCCAGAGCGCTTACCACTTTCCAGGCATGTTATCCTTTTCGCATCCGTAACGAGATTTTTTTTTTTTAAAGTTGACCTATCATCATCATCTGTCCCTTGACTTTTGTCGTAGGGGTGCTGTGAAAGTTCGCGTAACCAAATCTCTCCACTTTTCCAGGTCTGTTACCCAGCAGTTTTCTTTAACATTTACTCTCGAAAGTTTGGATTCTTCTTTCAGCCTTAACTCTCTCTTTTACAACCATATAGGAGTACAGAGTAGAGATAGGAAATCCGAACCCGAACTTAAAAACTGATCGGTACGAACCGAACGATTTATCCTTACCTTGACCGAACTGACACGCTCGTTAACCGTGGGCCACAGAAATAGATGACCTTTACATCAACTGCCCTATAAATCGTAAGTTCTGAAATGGAAACTTTAAAAAAGAAATATATCCACTGAATTCTAATAAAATTACTTTATTTTTTTATGTTTTTTGTATCTTTTCTGTTATGTGGCCCGCGACGCGAATGTTGGAAATAAAAAAGGCCCACCGGCCGAATAAGGTTCCACATCGCTGTTTTATCTCATTAATAACTGAAATAAACAATATTTTATGTACCTAATTTTTCTATTATCTAATTTCCTAATATCGAACCGAACCCGAACTTTAGACCTGACCGAACCTAACCGAACCTGAACAATGCTCGTCATCGAACCGAACCCGAACTTTAAAAGTTAGGTTCGATTCCCATCTCTAGTACAAAGACTACCAGCGAAGAATACAGTTTTAATTGTGCGTGTTCAGAGACTCGAAAGCAAAGATTTACTGCAAAGATTGAAAATACAATAGGCTTAATAAATAGGCTTAAGTTAACTTTTATCTGTCCATGTTCTCTATCGAGGCAGAAAGAAATGAGCTACGCTGGTGTAAAAGAGCGGGAAATCGGAAGGGGGAGGGGCGGTGATGTCAGACAACGATGAATGAGAAATGGGTGTCGTGTTAGTGACCATCCCATTTTAAATACGTATGTTGGTTGTTGATCCTGTGAGGTTGCAGGGTGCCTGACATGTAAATAAGTTGTTTTTTTTTAATCTTCAGACGGGTGTGTTTATCATTGCATTGTTGTATAGCAGTGACGAGGAGATCAGTGGTACCCCTATGATGTGTGTTATAGTGACGGGCTTAGTTTCAAAATTTTGAATGTCTCTAAGTTTTTCTTGGAGCCGTGTTTTTAAGCTCCTGCCTGTGTTTCCAATATAGACCATTTGACACCTTGAGCATATTATAGCATAGTACTACTTGTCGACCCACGGCGTAGCATACGCCGCTATTTTCTAGGGCCGGCCTTAGGCCACTGCAACCTATGCGACCGCAGTGGGCCACGCACTTTCATAGAACCCGCGGTAATTCTAGGTGTAAATTATTAAATTAAACAGATTTCCCAAGGCCGCCTGATTTACCAAGAGCTCCTGGAAATCTCCTGAAATTGCAAAACATACGAAAAAGTCATGGGAATCTCCGGAAATTATTAAAATTTTTTGAAATCTCATACAAATCTCCTGAAATCTATAGACAAAAATTGTCATTTTGGGGTATCATTCAAAATGGAAAATGCAAATCCTACACGCAATAAAAAAAAAAACTGCATCATGTAATACCCGTACTTGTGGAATCTGGTGTAAGAAGCTTCTCGCGCCTCAAACTAATGAGTAGCTACTTAAGGTCAACAATTCTCGTAGATAGTCTAGATTGAAACACTTGGTAATTCGGTATGTAGTAAACAATGAATAAAATGCAAATACGAAAATTTATTTTCTAATACAAACTCTTAATTTTTACTTATTATCCGTATCCCTACCCAAACTTGGCCCCGCGTAATCCGTTTCGCATAGGGCCCCACAAAGGTTGAGTCCGGCCCTGCTATTTAGTGACGGATGAATACAGAGTAGATTACTTTTTCTCCCCCCCCCCCCCTCTTTTTTTTTCGCCGCTAAAGTTATGTTGGGTAGAATTAAATAAAAGAGTGATCTTTCCATAACTTCTTGGTCACAATGGTTAAGTCCGGCCCTGCTATTTAGTGACTGCTGAATACTTCTTGTTCTCTCCCCCCTCTTTTTTTTTCGTGGGGTAACTCTAGTCCGTCTTGTAGAAGTAAAAGAGTGATATAATCTTTACTTTTCGGTGTCCAAACTATTGAGCCATGAAGAGAATTATATATATATATATATATATATATATATATATATACACACACACACACATATATATATATATATATCTGTGGCATTTTACGTCTCGAGAGACGATCTTTTCCCTTTGCAACTTCTTGTGTGACTAAAGAGGCCAATCCTTGATACACAGCTGCGATCGCAGGTTGGGCATATATAATCACCAGGCGCCGTTGCATTTTCACCCTTCTTTCTGCTTCTGTTGTGTATGACATTTGCAATCTTTGACCCTTCCTTTATGCTCTCTCTCCATGAGGATCTGTCCAGTGCTACCTCTTCCCAGTTGCCAGTGTCGATTTTGAAGAGCTTCATGTCGCGTTTGCATACATCCGTATAACGTAATAATGGGCGACCAGCGGCTCTCCTGCCTTCTATTAGATCGCCATACAGGATGTCCTGTGGAAGTCGACCTTCTGGCATTCTACGAACGTGGCCAAGCCAGCCAAGGCGTCGGCTGCTGATATATATATATAATTATAATAATAATAATCTTTATTGTCCGTAAGGAAATTAGTCTTTGGTGTACAGTTACTCCTCCAAGTTTTTCACAATTTGCTTAGCCAGAGGCGTAGTGAGGGGGTGGGCAATGGGGGCACGATGCCCAGGGCGCCATCCTGGGGGGAAGACTCCACACGCAGAGAGGCGCCAATAAAATAAAATTATTGTAGATATTTTAGTTAGGTAATACATTCTAAGTTTTTTAAAAATTATATTAATATTAAATAATGTTTCATTATAAACCTATATTGATAATATTTCTATGTGATGTTCGCGGTAACTTGGGGGAGGGGGGCGGGCGCACGTTTTACTCACTACACATCAAGCTTAAAGGGGTTTTTACAAAGCTTATATCAACTCACTTTGTCTGTCTGTCTGTTAAAATGTTTGTACACGTTATTTCTCCTACATTCAAAATGACCCAAATCTCGGATCAAGCTGAAATTTTACACACTTATTTCTTTTACCCTACAACACAAGAATCAATTTTAAAAACAAATTATTGATTAACTATTGGTAATTCATTATTTTGCTTGGTGTCTCGAACGCCGGTATGGACAGTATAGTCAGTGGTCTTCAACGGGGGCGTTTTCGAGATTTTGGGGGGCGCTGAGAACCAAAGGTGCGGTAGGGGT